CGAATGTCAATACATAGGATGCTATCATGGTCAAAGGTTACATTATTAAGTAATTGTATAAATAATAAGTTTTATATAAAATCAAATATTATAAATTAAATAAGTCTTTTTGATTGTTTTTTTTAGGCGCAATCTTGTATGGTGTTTTTTTAAAGCAATTTTATTTAAAATTAATTTTTTTTTTTTTCAAATAATTTAGTCGCCCATTAAAAAACCGATGGTTCTTACTCGTGACAAGCGCCTTCGCAAAGAAGCTGTAGAAGTTTTCAAATGTATGTTTTTATTGCTTTTTTTTATCAAAATGTGGTCTGTTATTCTTATTAAATTGTGTTGTGAGAGTTTTTTACTAAAAATATATATATATATATTTTTTTTATTTACAAATACTTAGAATTAAATTTCAGAGTTTGTTAAGAAAAAGAATATCTTTATTTATCTGTTTAAAAGAGAATAATAAATAAGAATTTCCATAGTAATTTTTCTTTTTATGTTTCTAATATTTTTTCTTTTTATGTCTTTTATGTTTTTTTTGTTCAATCTTTCAGAAGTTTCATGAAGTGAAATTTCTTGTTTAGAAAATTGCTTTAGCATGATAAGATTCAATTCATTTTTGTTTATATATGGATCAAATCATTATATTTCATCCAATGGCCTGTGGGTCACCATCTTTGATTTTCCTGATTTTTACATATTGTTATGTGCATTATGTAGATAGGTTAATTTAAAATTTCAGACTTCCAAGTACAATGGTTACAGAAATTTTAGCCTTAGAAACATGACACATTGGCCCCCCTCGATTTACAAATAGTCAAAACAGACTACTTTAGAGCTGTATAACTTTTTTCTCACTTTCAACAAGTGTCTCATTTTTTCTAGAACTATTTTCTGGATAGTTCTCTCTTTAAAAAAGTGGTTTTTATTAACTTGTGTTAAATTAGAAAAAAAAATATGCCCTCCTCAACTTTGGAAAAAATCCTAAAGTTGCCAAAATATGCCAAAATGAAACTAACTGTAACATTATTCTATTCATCCACTAGTCTTAGCAAATAAGTTTTCTGATTAGCTACTACTGTCTGCAATAAATGGGCAAAATATAGGAAGCTTGTTGCAGTTGAGAACTCAGATATATCTAAAAGTAAAATGTCTACTTGCCTAAAAAGTCCAATTTTTAGCCATTTCGAAAATGCTTGAAAATTTTTCTGACACTTTGTTTTGAGCTAAGATTAACAGCATATAAGACCATTAGACTTAACTATCTGAAAATGCAAACATTATAAACTTGTCAAATCCACACCAAAAATGCCAACATTTTTAAATATCAACAGTTGAATGCGTTACTAGAAACCAGTGCCCCTCTAACCTCAAACTGGTCTATGTGAAGGGTGCAACTAAATATGTGATTTCTTAATAAAAAGAAAGATATGGTTAGTTGTCCCCTCCTTGATCTGGTCTTTATAGTAGATAGGGTCACAAATAAAGGGGGCAGTAACTTTTTAGAGACCTTTATTATGGTTCAAATAAAGGTCTCTAAATTAATTTAGATATTTAAATACTTAATATCTAAATATCTTAATTAATTTCAAAATGAAACCATTATTTCTTTAAATTCTATTTTATTATAGGTAATCAGTGGTCTGACCATAAGATACGAATTTCGATAGTGACAAAAATATGTGCCAAATTTTCCAGCAAATAAACAATGTGATGGTCTTAAAAGGGAATTAATAAGAGTTAATTAAATTACTAACAGTTAGTTGCCCCTCTTTCCCCCCCCCCCCCTTGATTGGTGCGACACCAAACCCCTCCCCCTCCCCTTAGTGAGTGTGGAGAGGGTTCAGACCACATACAGACCATTGTACTTCTAAAATTTCAAATTTAACCTATCTACATAATTTATTGTACTCTAAAATTTCAAATTTAAATAAATTATTGTACTCTAAATTATTGTACTCTAAAATTTCAAATTTAACCTATCTACATAATGCACATAACAATATGTAAAAATCAGGAAAATCAGAGATGGTGACTCACAAAGTTTGCTTCATTTTGGTTGAATTATAATAATTTGACCCATATATATATATATTATATATATATATATATTATATATATTATATATATATATATATATATATATATATATATATATATATATATATATATATATATATATATATATATATATATGTATATATATATATATGTATATATATATATATATATATATATATATATATATATATATATATATATATATAATATTTATATATATATATATATATATATATATATATATATATATATATATATATGGGTTAAATCATTATTTATTTATTTTTGTACTAAACATTGAACCCATTAACATTAACACATTAACTTTATATTTCTAACCTGCTTTGATCATTTTTAGAAGTTATGCTGTATATTGCTTTTCATATGTTATAGTAATATATATATTTTTTGTATCTTGCTACAGTAATACTGCAATATATGGGAGATAAATCAACTCGCAAAACACCTGAAAGTTTATCTGTGGAGATAACCACTAAAGGTTGGAGTATGCCATTATTACGTGACGAAATTTATATTCAACTTTGTAAGCAGACTACTGGAAATAATAAAGTGTAGGAAGTTTATTTGTTTATTATTATTTATATTATTATAAAAAATTATAAAGTTTATTTATTATTAAAGTTTATTATTATTTGTATTTTTTGTTGTTCAAGTAGTTTATTAGTGACTTGATTCAGGAATGATCAATCAATATGTCAATTATAATCATTTTTTTTTTCTGTCTTTAAGAGACAGGCAAACAAAGTGTACCTGTTTCTTCCTTTGTATTTTTTCCCCATTAAACTTAGACATTGAACTTTTTCTGTTGGTTCTTTTGGTTCATGACCAAACTTAGACATTGAGTTTCTACTAAACTAAACGTATCCACTAAACAAATTTGTTTAAAAAAATATATTATAAGTGTAAGGATGTATTTTTTATTGTGCATATATATTTTATTGCAAACATAATATCTGTGATGAATCTCTGGCTTCTAGTAAAATACTAAGTTTAAACTTTTTGTTAGTCGTCAGTTTTACTGTTTGACCATGGTCAAAACAATCTATTAGAAGTGGTTATTTTACTGTTAATATTTTAGCAGGGCCAGGCCTAAGTTTGTTAATATATATGTATGTATATATATATATATATATATATATATATATATATATATATATATATATATATATATATATATATATATATATATATATATATATATATATATATACAACCCTCGGAATTAAGAAAAATGAGGTCGGCAATAATTTGCCAACCTTGATCTTTTTGAGGTCGGCATCAGGTCGGTAAAAATTATTTGATACAAAGGTCTGACCATAAAACATACAAACGAGGTCGACAATTTTTTGCCGACCTCAAACACTTACAGGTCGGCAGTTAGGTCAGCATTGCAGAATGCTGACTCTAATTCAAAGGGTTGTATATATATATACACACACACGCAAGGTTTGAATTAAGTGATCGCAACTTGCAATATCTCAAAATGCTTCTGGTCATTAAATTTTTATTTTTTTTAAAACCGTGTACTCTGTTTTTATCACAACGCTTAATAATTGTTATCCAATAAAAAATACTATGATCTTCAAATTATGATAAAATATCACATTTCAAAACCATATTATCGTTATTGTTATTGTTGCTATTATTATTATATTAATGTTATTGTTATTAAACATTTTGATTTCAACTATAATAGCTTTTTTTAAAGCTACAGTTTAAATAAAGCTATTACAATTTATTTTTTAGCTTTATATAAAGTTATTTGATAATTCGTCAAATAAAAATAGAAAAATATATTATAAGACAACTGCATATCACAAACACTCTAAAGGAGTTTAGAAGTGATCAAATATTTTAAATAAAAGAAATTGGGACGTTATTTAAATCTTATTCAACATTTATCCTCGCTTGAATGCTTATATATTTCTAGTGCAGATCTTTATAAAAAATTAAAGACAGGTATTTTAAAACTTTAAAAATTTTAAGACCACTTAAAGTTTATTTAAAATAAAACATGTTTTTAGGACCTTAAGTAATCATTATTTTAACTTTTTATTTATTCATGATACTTGAATAAAGTGGTGTTTAAACAAACAATAAATTAAAATAAGTAAGTTTTGACTGTTATTATTTTTGCCCTTGTTATTTGCTACTTGCTATTTGAATTTTTTTTTTGTAATAAATGAACAGTTTCTATTTAGAGCAAGTTTAACACGAGGTTGGGAGTTAATTACATCGTGTCTATCAATTTTTCCGCCTTCAAGCAAGTTTCATGCTTACTTAGAAGGATATATTTACAGACATCTGGATCCCGAAGAAAACCATACAACGGTGTGTTTGATCATCAAATTTTAAACTTTTCTAATCAATGAAGTAATTAATTTTACTAGTTCTGCAATTGGATGCTTTAACAAACAAAATAGTTAGTTCATGTAAGAACTAATCATTTCAGGTTTGCATTACTGCAAAAAAAAAAGAAGGTATTTTTAGGCATTAACGCAAACTGGAAATTATTTGTTCCGAAACAAATTTTTTATTTTTAATACAGGTATCAAATATAGAAGAAATTAAAAAAATAATAAAAGCAATATTTATAAATAGTTTTTTTTTTTTCTACTTTCGTTTTTAGGTGCGTTTAGATTTGTATGCAAAGCATTGCTACAAACAACTAGAAAGAATTTGTCAAACTGGTGCAAAACGTGGACTGAAAGGACCAACAATAGATGAAATTAAATCTGCCATTGTAAGTAAATAACATTTTGGTACAAAAATTTGTTTGTTAGGAAATATACAAATTAAATCTCGTAATCCTAACTCTCGATTGCAAGATCTATGCTAACTGCGTCACTGCGCTATAAAATACTTTTCTGGCTAAATTGAACATAGTTATGCAGAAAGCAGCCAGCCACAGAAAACTCAAAACTGAGATAAAAGCACTTTTATCTAAATGTTGAATAATCAAATCTATACAACACAAATATTTTGTGAGGCAATTACTGTGACTTTTTGTATAAAAGCTGCCTGGTTGGTTTTAGTAGAGCATAGAATTTACCTTTCTCCTTCTGGTGGCATCAATATCTTAATTTGGATGAAATTGTAGACTGGCTGCTTTTTGCATAACTACGTTCAATTAAGATTTTTGATCATCAAAAAAAGTTGATGGCTCAATATTGACACAAATAGTTATGACTTAGTATTGATTACTTGACTAGTATTGGTACTACAAGTTGATGACACAATTTGATGCATTAAGTTAATGACGCAATTTTGTCACAAGTTTATCACTTTTTTTTTAGCTTCTTTTTTGACTCAGTCCAATCAGCAAAAGCTTTAAAACCTTAAAAATATGTTGTTTAATAAAATATTTTATAACAAGGAATATAGAAATAGAAAAAATTAAATGTTTGATAAAAGTTGAATTATACAAAAATATAATAGAAATAGTTAATATTTATTATTGAAATATTATAATAAGAAAGATTTAATATAGAAGAGATTATATAATATTTATTGCTCCTTAAAACACCTCTAAAACACCTCTAAAACACCTCTATGACACAAATCTGAATTCTTTAAATATCAAGTATTTCTAAAAATATTTTATAATAAAAAAAATAGCATAAAGCTATTAAGTTAACGTTGATAAATAAACTTGATGTACATAACTGTGATAAGTGTAACTAGCTATAACTAACAGTGATTAGTTTACCCAGCTGTAATCAACTGATAAGTAGTCTAGTTATACTTAGTTTAAGTTAGCTGTAGCTAACTTAAACTAAGTATAACTAGCTGTAACTAACTTTAAACTTACAATACCTACAATAATTGTATAGAATTTACTCAAAAGTTAAAGTTTTTGACCTGCAATGCTTTTCTTTTACTTCACTCTTCAACACTCATTAACTTCTCTTTTCTTAATGTAAGAGAAGTTTGAATGCATGAAATGTCAGAAAAACGTTTGAACAAAGAGTTGCTTTAAAATTTATTAGACTTATTGTCTGTAACGAAGTTGCAGAAGTTAAGACTTATTGTCATTAAGACTTATTGTCTGTAACGAAGTTTTACGTACACAATTTTTTGCACACAAAAAAAAAACTCTCAATTTGGTTTGGTTTTGATGGAGGTAAAGTGTGGTTTGAAATGTGTGGTTGTTAGATTACTTTGTTTCCTAATGTCATTTAGTATATCGTTTTTTCATTTATGGAATTTTGTATTTTATACCCTTATAAGTGTGCGGTCATGAAAGTATAATATTTTTTCAAAATAATTTGCATTGACATTAATTTTGATTTTTAATTTTGAGACTAGATATTTACTTTTTAAGTTTTTTTTTTTTTTTTTGTGTCTAAGAATTTTTTATTTTATCTTGAATAATAATAAATATATCAAGATATTTAACATAATAAAAATATGTCAAAATATAAATATTAAACATCTTAATAATATTTTTAGAAACGGGTCTTTAACCCTTCAATGTTTGGCAACACTCTAGACGATATAATGGAAATGCAAGCAGAACATTTTCCTGAAAATAGACTTCCTTGGATATTAACAACGCTGACTGAAGCTATTTTGTTGCATAATGGTCTTCAGACAGAAGGAATTTTTAGGTTTTTTTTTTTTTTTGAGTTTTAAATGGTGAGCTAATGTGATATTTAAATGATGACGTTTCAATTTCATAGTTATTGTTTAACTATGACGTAAAACTAGTGTTATTACATGGCTAGGATTATTCATTAAATTGATTTTTGTAGACATTTTTTAACTTTTTATTGATTTTTTCCTTTTAAATCTGTGTTTAAATTTTATATATGATATTAAACAGTTTTGGGATTCTTTTTAAGCTTGGCCGTCATCTTCCATAGTTTTGTTTATGTTGCCTTAATTATTATTTTATTATTATATTATTATTAAAATCATTATTTGAAACTATTATAAATAATAAAATTATGTAAACATATTTTATTTTAGAGTTCCTGGTGACATCGACGAAGTAAATTCGCTCAAAATTCATGTTGATAATTGGAAAGTTCCAATGCACATGAACGAGCCTCATGTGGCTGCTTCTTTACTAAAACTCTGGTTTAGAGATTCTTATGAACCCCTCATACCACAACGGTTTTAATATCTTTTCAATTTTCTTTTTCTATTTAAAATAAGCGAAATTTAAAGACACAACGATATAAAAACATAAAATGAAACATTCTTTGAGTTCTTTTCATTTTAATTATCAAGAAATTTTTTCTATTCTGTAGGGACATATATTTACCTACTCTTTAGGAACTAATATTTTTAAAATGTGTTATACGTTATTTCTTAATTTATTTTTACTGATCAATGCATACATAACTGCGACAATACAGAAGTGTGCTTAAATATAGTTAACTCGCTACCAGCTCTCAACAAATTAGTATTTAGTTACCTTATTCGACTGCTTCAGGTAAAAGCTTTTTTATTCGATTTTATAAATTTAATTTACAGTACATGAGTATCTTATATCGCCTTGGGAGAAAATCATGTCGCTCAATTAAATTGCATTTTGATAAAAGTAACTAAACTCTAAAATCTTTTCATTAGGCATTTATGATACCGACAAACGTTCAGTATTCAAAAATGGACGAAAACAATTTAGCAATGGTGTGGGCTCCAAATTGTTTACGGTGTCCTTCAAACGATCCTCGGGAAATTTTCGACTGCACGCGCAAAGAAATGGCGTTTCTTAGAACTGTTATGAAAGCTCTGGACACTTCATTTCTTGAAGGAGTTGTTTGAGAAATAAGTTTGTTTCAACTGGTTTATCTGGTTTATTTCAACTGGTTCATCTAAATTTGTTGATCAAAACCTCTCCAATGTTTTAGTGAGCTTTTCTTTCTAAAACACCGTTTTGTAATAAGGATTTTTGGTTTAACGTTGTTTAAATTGTGAATA